GGCCACAACATTAGTAACAAAGAAACAGAATTTCCGGAGGATGAGGCCCAGAAATCAGGATTTTAAAAAGATTCCCAGGTGATTCTAATGTGGCCAAGGTTGAGAACCACTGTCCTAGAGCAGTGGTCGGCAAACTCATTAGTCAACAGAGCCAAATATCAACAGTTCAACGATTGAAATTTCTTTTGAGAGCCAAATTTTTTAAACTTAAACTATATAGGTAGGTACATTGTTATTAACTTAATTAGGGTGCTCCTAAGGCTTAGGAAGAGCCACACTCAAGGGGCCAAAGAGCCACATGTGGCTCGCAAGCTGCAGTTTGCTGACCACTGTCCTAGAGTGTCTGAAGCAGCCAGGATTTCATTATTTGTGCCTCTACCAAAAGCAGCAATGGCAGCCTCAGATTGATCACTGATACATGCAAGCTCCGTGCACTAAGTGTCATCCATGAGTCAGCTCTTTAATTCTCCCTCAGTCCCGTGAGGTTTATATTGGTATCTGACTTTCCTGATGAGGAACCTGAGGTTTAGGAAACATTGACTGGCTGCCTCCTGCATGCCCTCTACGGGGGATGGAAGCCACAAGGAAGGATGTGCCCTGACCAGGAATAGAACCGGCAACCTCTTGGTGCACAGGATGACGCCCAACCAACTGAGCCACACTGGCCAGGGCTAAACCTGTAAATAATTTTTATATTTTATTTGAGCCAAACTGACAATTGGCAGAAAGTAAGATGCTCAAGATAAGTGACAGTTTGCAGTTTCTTTTATGCATTTGGAATTAAGGAGGGGATTAAAGGAAGATTAAGTGAAGGTGGGAGAAAGCAAAGTGGGGATCAGATTACAGGACAATTAACAAGATTAGGCTCTCTTGAGGGTGGTTACACCTCGGAGGCGTACCGCTTCTGACATTTCAAAGGCCTTAAACTGGATGCACAAGAACAATGGGCAGGAATTTGTAACTTATTAAAGCACCCCTTTTTCCCTTTTTCGTCCACGTCCACGGTATCAAGATGTCCTTGTTGACATCTGCCAGGTTCCTGTTCTGTTGCTTTACTTTGCCTTGTTCGTTATGATGTATCACGCCTGAGAACAATAGTTGTTTAAGGTCAGGCTTTAACACAGTGGTTCTCAACCTTCTGCCCTTTAAATACAGTTCCTCATGTTGTGACCCAACCATAACATTATTTTCGTTGCTACTTCATAACTGTAATGTTGCTACTGTTATGAATCGTAATGTAAATATCTGATATGCAGGATGGTCTTAGGCGACCCCTGTGAAAGGGTCATTCGACCGCCAAAGGGTCACGACCCACAGGTTGAGAACCGCTGCTTTAACATTTCAAAGCCAAGAAGTCAGGAAAGGGTCGCCATATGTATTTTTGAAGAAGTGACAAACTTGTTGTCCAACTTGTTTTTCCGTTCACCAGAGGTGGCATATGCGCACTGATGGATAGGTCCACTAAGCAACGGGCTCAGACTCCCTTTCCTCTTTGAATCTAGGAAGCGAGAATCCCTAGCAAGAGGTGTTATATAAGTAAGTTCTTTGTCTGTTTTGGCTGTGTGGCTTATAAACAGGAGACATTTATTTCTCACAGTTCTAGAGGGTGGGAAGTCCAAGATCCAGGCAGCAGCTTGGTGAAGGACCTCTTCCTGGTTCATAGCCAGTGGCTTCTGGCTGTGTCCTTCATGGTAGACGGGGTGAGGGGGCACTGTGGAGGCTCATTTATGAAAACACTATCCCATTCATGATGGCTCCACCCTCATGACCTAATCACCTCCCCTCTAGGGCCCCACTTCCTGATGCCATTACATCAGGCTTTAGGATTTCAACATATGAATGGGAGGGGAGAGACCCTAGCAGTGAGTTCTCATCACTTTCTAAAGCAAGCATGTCAAACTCAAAGGCTAACACGGGCCACATAAACAAGGTTTAAGTTTACGGGGGCCGCAAAAAAACAAAAGCTTCAATTTTCATAGAAACGTGGGTTTATTTCGATGGACATGCTGAATACAAAGGGCTGTAATAAATAAGTAATCGTTAACATAAAATAATAGAACATTTTAATAAAAATTAATTTTTCTTGAACATTAACTTACCAGACACTGAATAACTGCACAAATTAATAAGCGTAACGCAGATAAACCTATTTTTCTTGTTCTCCAAAAGCAAAATATTTCCTGTTGCGCACACCACACAAGTCAGTCCAAGACTAAGGATGTGGCAATCGGCTGCTAAAATATTCGCTGCTGGTATCAGTGGAGAGAAATGGTGCGCCTGCGTGTAAGGCGAGTAAGGGAAATGAATGCAACACGATTATAGTAATTAGTCCTTAGCGAACGTTGTAGTTCGTTATTATAATTATGTGTAATAGGATTTTGTAAAAATTAAGTTACGAAATTTTTATTAAAACGTTTCTTACATACCGTTATATTGGCTGGGCTGTGAAAATATTCGTTGTGGGCTGCATGTGGCCCGACGGCCACGGGTTTGACTTGCTTGTTCTAAAGGTTCCAGGGTGTGTGAAAGGTGGAGGGAGCGACTGAAGACAACGGAGTGCAATGTGGTGCATTTTTTGCAGGGAATTGGATGGAATCCATTGAGAATTCCCAAGTTTATAGAATTGCAAGAGACAGGCTGCCATGCTTGCCTATGGATAGGAGCTGTGAACAGGATTGGGGCTGTGAGACCCAGATTTGGAGGGCACCCTAATCCTACTGGAAAATGTTATATTTAGATACTTAGTAAATATGACCGGCAAGTAACAGGTTACTCAGCAGGTCTCAGCTCCCCTGTCTGTGAAATGGAGAGCATGAGACCCACTGTCCCAGACTGTGGAAAAGATCCAATGAGATGTGAGTGTAATCTTCCTGGCACTTAACAGGCACTTAGAGGATAGCAGCTGTTAGTCTTATCGTTTTAATTTTACACAGATCCCTTTGCAGAGGTTCTCAACCTGTGGGTCGCGACCCCTTTGGGGGTCGAACGACCCTTTCACAGGGGTCGCCTAAGACCATCGGAAAACACATATATAATTACATATTGTTTTTGTTGATTAATCACTATGCTTTAATTATGTTCAATTTGGAACCATGAAATTGGGGGTCACCACAACATGAAGAACTGTATTAAAGGGTCGCGGCATTAGGAAGGTTGAGAACCACTGCTTTAGAGCTCGTTCAGATGATTGAACATGATAATAACTAACGAATGCTGTCCTCAGCAGATGCAGATCTGTGGCTCCAGAGTGTATCCTGAGAAGTATTTCTAGGCTCTTGGCCCGATGTCTTGGCAGCGCCTTGATCTGAAGATGTCACCCCGGGTGCTGTGGGGCAGCCTCAGCCTGCTCCGCCTGGTGTGGTGTGTCCTTCCACAGACAGGCTACGTGCACCCAGATGAGTTCTTCCAGTCACCGGAGGTCATGGCAGGTAAAGCGCCCCATGTATGGCTGTGATACGTCACAGCAAAGTCTGGGTTGGAGCTGGTTGGATGTCCAGGGGGAGGGAGACACAAGGCTGTGCAGATGAGCAGAAAACCAGTGAGCCCCTCTGGAGTAAGAACTTGCGAGTGGGGACCTCGCATCTCCTTCCCGAGGGTGACACTGACCTTCTGGATGATACTCATGAAATGCCGGCCTCTTTGGTGTTTTCCTGTTTGGACCAACAGTAGAGGTTACTGAAAAGAAAAGCTGTTTTGTATTTCTCAGGGAAGGATTTGAGTTGGGCTTCTGCTGGGGTTCTTGTTCTGGCATTAAGAAGGGTTCAGCAATCTGAAGAAGGTCTGTGTGTAACTTAATAAAGAGTCCAGAGACGAAGTATAATTTTGAAAGGCATTTGGGGGTCAGAGGAGCCTACCTTAAGAAACTAAGATCTCCTTGTCTCAGGACCCCATGCTTTTTATTAACACAATTTGTCCTGAGGCGAGGTGGAGATATACACTTCAAAGGGTAGGGTTTCCTATACAGAGTCCATTGTCAGATTGGAAGAATTAGCCTACAGCTGTTCAGGTGTTTGGCCAGTAGGAGGCAATAACATGTAGATTAAGATGCCCTGAGCTGTCTGGCAGCAAGCAATCAATTTAAGCATCCTTTTCAGGTTTGGGGAAATGCCCTTGCCACTCCAGATCCAGCCCTGCTGTCATGCTGGAATTGGCTTCCGGCAGGCTTCCTCAGTGCTTGGGAAAACTTACACAGAGAGGAAGGGAGGAGAGAGAGATAGAAGCATCAATGATGAGAGAGAATTATTGATGGGATGCCTCCTGCACACCCCACACTGGGGATCCAGCCCAAAACCCAGCATGTGCCCTGACCAGGAATCAAACCGTGACCTCCTGGTTCATAGGTCAACACCCAACCACTGTACCACACTGGCCAGGCTGTTGTTTTTTAACCAAAAAAGTAGTTCTGGAATATTTCTCTCCACTCCCTTCTACTCCTGTCCCTGAACGGCAGTGGGACATTTCAGCATCTCATCCTTTATGGATCATTCTCCCTCTAGGGATCATTTCCCCTCCTCAGCCTGGCCCAGTGAGTGGAGAACACAGTGCTCAGTCAGCATCTAGCAGCACTTGAGGATACACAGGTGCTCCCAGAAGCCTTTCTTTGTAAATGTGATCTGGTCCCTCTGCAAGCGCAAAGCCCTCTTCACAGGATGGAGAACAAACCCCAGGCCAAACCAGCACCTGTTGCTTTGATGGAAGCCATCGCACCCCTGAGCATGTTGCTCCCAACGCAGGTACCCTCTACCCAGTCCACTGGGAAACTTTTCTTCTGTAGTTTTATATGAGGGCCGAGGGAACCCAGACCTGGATGCTCCATTGTTAGAATTTATCTACCAGGTGGTGTAGAGCACATCATGAGGATGGTTGCTAGGGACCGTAAGGGTTCTCAGATGCTGGGGGCACATGGCTTCCTCCTCTCGGTTCCATATGGCTGCTTGAGCTCCAGCCGTCAAGTCTAAAACCAAGTCTTTCCAGCCACTGATGGGCATGCCTGCTCTCTTCCAGGGCATTTTTGAAAGTCTCATACCATCTCCATCCCATCAGTCAGAATGTGTCACATGGCAACACCGAGCCTGCAAAGGAAGCTGAAAAATATAGCCTTCAAACCTGACCAAACGTCCCACTGAAGAAGGAGGAGGGAGTGGATACTGGGGAGACTATTTAGCTATTTCTGCCACGTGGCTCAATGCTGGATTTAACTTGAAAAGTCCAGTCTTCCTTTCCACACTTTTTAAAAACCAGAGCCAGTGAAAAGCAGCCAGATTGAGCTGATCCTAGCTTTTCTGTTTCCCTTTTGACATAGAGAGAGAATGGCTAAAAGGCTGGAGGAATAAGTGGGAGAAACAAAGAGCCCTAAACAAAACCAGCAATGTCGTAGAGCATGAGAAGCTGTGGGCCTGAGTTGAGGTGCAGAAATGAAGGGTTTGTTTCCTTCACCCCACCCCTCAGAGCTCTGGGACACGGGGTGCAGGATCACAGGCCAGACTCAGGCAGCGAGTATTCTTTTAATGACACAAGTACTGCTTGAATATATTCTTCTTATGAAAAATTTAAATATCATAGACAAATCTAAAGTCACTTTTGACCATAGCTACATTGCTCATTCCCTTTCCCTTTCTCACACTGCCTATCCTGGAACACAGTCATAATTACAGAGATGGGTTTTTTACCTCACTTTGGAGACTTTAAACTCCGAGGAGAGGAATGGACCTTCCCCCTGATCCTCCCCATACACCCTGTCCAGGGCACATTGTCACCTCACATCTCAGGAATGGTTCCTTCCCAGGGGGGCCTCAGACGGGCTGGACTCCCCTACATTCATTTCTAGTGCTGCATAACCAATCATCACAACCCCAGCAGCTTAAAACTGTCAGGTCACCGCTCTGTAAATTGGAAGTCCGGCATGGACTCTCTGCTCAGGGCATCACAGGGTTGAAATCAAAGTATGGCCGGGCCGAGTTCTTGTCTGGAAGCTCTGGGGGGAAATCTGCTTTCCAAGCTCATTCTTTATGTTGGAAGAATTTCATTTATTTCAGCTATGGGACTAAAGCCCCCACTTCCTTGCTAAAAGTCAGCCAGGGGCTGATCTCGGCTCCTAGATCATGCCTTGCCAATGGCCCCCTCCATCTGAGACAGCATTGGTGCATCAAATCGTTCTAATGGTTTGAATCTCTGACGTCCTTTTCTGCTTTTAAAGGGCTCATGTGATTATGTCAGGCCCATCTGCATTATCTCCCTGTCTGATGTTCTGCTGTCCCCCGTGACATAAACTACACAAGAGGAAAATCCATCATCTTCACAGTCCCAGGGTTTATCCGGGGAGTGTACGCTAGGGGGCTGGAAGATCCAGGTGGCCATCCTGAAGTGTTATTGTCTACCGTGTTCTCTGAGCTTGGGACTGGCTCACCCCCACTTCTCTCCGCAGAGGACATCCTGGACATCGAGGCCGCCCGGCCCTGGGAGTTTCATCCCAGCAGCGCCTGCCGCACGGTGGTCTTCCCGCTGCTGACCTCCGGCTTTGCCTTCTGGCTGCTCAAGATCTGGAAAGAACTGGGCCCGTGGTCTGGCCTGGTAAGTGGCTATGCGCTGCTGGTGGGGCCCCGGCTCCTCCTCACTGCCCTCTCCTTTGCCCTGGACGTGGCCATATACCACCTGGCCCCGCTGTGGAGGGCGGAGCGCTGGAACGCCCTGGTCTTGCTGTCTGGTTCCTATGTCACCCTGGTCTTCTACACAAGGACCTTCTCCAATGCCATCGAGGGACTGCTCTTTGCATGGCTGCTGGTACTGGTATCGCCCCGTGTAGCTCGGAGCCCCGCACCCGGGAAGCCTGCTCGAGGCTCGTGGTGGCACAGCTGGCTTCTTGGGACCATCGTGGCTGCCGGCTTCTTCAACCGGCCCACCTTTCTGGCCTTCGCTCTGGTTCCCATGTTCCTCTGGGGCATTTGCGGAGCCACGAACTCTGCCTTCAAGTCACTGACCAAGGCAGCCCTGGGGCTCCTCCCAGGAGCGACCCTCACAGCAGCAGTGTTTGTGGCTGCGGACAGCTGGTATTTCTCCAGTCCGTTTACTAAAAGACCCAATACCCTTGTCCTGACACCTGCCAACTTCTTGCAATACAACCTGGATCCTCAAAACCTGGAGAGGCACGGCACACATTTGCGGCTCACTCACCTGGCTGTCAATGGTTTCCTGCTCTTCGGGATGCTGCATGCCCAGGCCCTGCGGGCTGGGTGGCAACAGCTGCAAGTCTGCCGCCAGGTCTTGGTACAGATGCGCTCCCTGAGGGTGTGGGAGGCCTGGAGACTGCTGCCCGGCCCCAGCTCTCACCTCCTGCTCCTCTACTTCACGCCCCTAGCACTGCTGTCTGCTTTTAGCCACCAGGAGGCTCGGTTCCTGATCCCCCTTCTAGTCCCCCTGGTCCTGCTTTGTAGTCCACAGACTCAACCTGTGCCCTGCAAGGGCACCCTGGTCCTCTTCAATGCCCTGGGCGCCCTCTTCTTCGGCTGCCTGCACCAGGGGGGCGTCGTGCCCGGCCTGGAGCACCTGGAGCGGGTGGTTCATGCGCCTGTGCTCCCGAACGTACCTACCCACTACACACTCCTCTTCACCCACACCTACATGCCCCCGCGGCACCTCCTACACCTCCCAGCGCCGGGGTCACTTGTGGAGGTGATGGAAATGGGTGGGTCTGAGGATCCGGTCCTGTGCCAAACCCTGAACAACTTCACCAGACAACCGGCCTGCCAGGTGGCCGGTGGGCCGTGGCTCTGCCGCCTTTTTGTGGTGACGCCGGGCACCACCAGGCCTGCCACGGAGAAGTGCAGCTTTCCCTTCAAGAGTGAGACACTTGTGTTTCCCCATTTGACCCTCGAGGACCCACCGGCCATGTCCTCCCTGCTGAGTGGGGCTTGGAGGGACCATCTCAGCCTTCACATCCTAGAGCTGGGGGAGAAGCCCGACAACACGACAGAGAATCCGTGGCCGTAGATGAAGGCCCCACTCCACCTTCTCTTTGGGAAGCTGGGCTGGGACAGAGTCTGACTCTCTTCCGTTCCCTTCCCTTCCAGAATTCCCACCCCTGCCTCTCCTGTCCACAGCCCTTGCTTTACTTTCTGGGTAATCTGGCACCCTTCTCCCCTCAAAGACCAAAGATCTGACCAGTCACAGTCCTGATGCCAAGGCCCTGATGCCTCAAAGGATCTGTATAACCAATCGGTCCCTAATGTTGGTCCCTGCTCTATTCCTTCCAGAAACTGTGATGTTTTAAATATATAATAGCACCTTGTTGTGAAGAACAACGACCTGAGAGTGACATTCTTAACTGACCTCCAAACCTTCCAGGATGCCTTACCTCTTGATGTCATGACAACCCTTTGCTTCCTAGACACCTGGAAGGAGGCAGTGTGGGGATGGAGAGGGAGTAGGCAGTGCAGATTCAGGGGACCTGAGTTCTAGTCCCTGGTCTGCCATTCACTGTGTGATCTTAAGAAAGCTCCTTCCCCTCCCCCAGCCTGTTTCTAGCCTGTACAATGGATCAGAGCATCTCTGAGATGTCTGCCAGCTAACACCGAGACATTCCTGGGTTTGCAGCACATGTCCCCTGGCTAGACAGGCACGTCTCTCCCAAAGCTCTTCAAGCATGGAAGTGAGTGTGGTGGTATATTTAATTGCACTTTGGTGTCTGCCGTCTTAGTGTTTGTTTGTTTGTTGTTGTTTTTTAAATTAAAAAAATATTTTTATTGATTTCAGAGAGGAAGGGAGGAGAGATAGAAACATCAATGATGAGGGAGAATTTTTGATGGGATGCCTCCTGCACACCCCACACTGGGGATCCAGCTCAAAACCCAGCATGTGCCCTGACCAGGAATCAAACCGTGACCTCCTGGTTCATAGGTCAACACCCAACCACTGTACCACACTGGCCAGGCTGTTGTTTTTTAACCAAAAAAGTAGTTCTGGAATATTTCTCTCCACTCCCTTCTACTCCTGTCCCTGAACGGTAGTGGGGCATTTCAGTATCTCATCCTTTATGGATCATTCTCCCTCTAGGGATCATTTCCCCTCCTCAGCCTGGCCCAGTGAGTGGAGAACACAGTGCTCAGTCAGCATCTAGCAGCACTTGAGGATACACAGGTGCTCCCAGAAGCCTTTCTTTGTAAATGTGATCTGGTCCCTCTGCAAGCGCAAAGCCCTCTTCACAGGATGGAGAACAAACCCCAGGCCAAACCAGCACCTGTTGCTTTGATGGAAGCCATTGCACCCCTGAGCATGCTGCTCCCAACACAGGTACCCTCTACCCAGTCCACTGGGAACATGAGGAACTGAGGCTCTACACCTGTCCTCATCCCCCTCCTCACACCTCTGCCATCTCATGAGAACAAGAGGCAGACAGTCCACAGAGATCAGTGAGCTGGAGGTCAGCACAGAGCAGGAGACCAAACCTGTACAAATGACCAAACCTGAGTCCTTTTCTAGTTCTGCCTTCTGCTGGCTAAAGCCTTGGGTCATCTTAAAGTTACACCCTTCACAAGTATGCTGTTCTATGACTGCTACTAGGGTCTTAGTGCCACATCTTCCTCATGACTCCAACCCCAAGGAAGAGGAAATTCAGTGGTACACTGCTAAATGTGTAGCAATGTTTTCTTGGGGGCAAAAAAAAAAAAGTGCCCCAATTTGTAGCATTTGCCAATTTCTGTGGTGTCAATATTCCCACATGGCTGATTTCAAACTACAAAATGATGTTACTGAACTCCAAGTTGGGAGGAGATGCCAAGCATCTACTCATGAAACAGTATACGCTGGCCCCAGCACACTATCAGATTTAAACTCTAGAAACCCATTCATGACAACTCATTGTTCTTCTGGTTCATGTTTCTGCTATGAACCTCTCATTTGTCTTCCTACCCCTTAGTACTTAGCATTATCTCTGGCAAATGATAAGCACTTACTTTGCAGCCAAAGATGGCATTTCTGTCCATAAATATAAATCCAAGGGCCACCTTGGAAACATCCAAGACTCTAGGGTCCCAAACTCCTCTGGGCTTCTGCCTCTTCTCTTTCCCATTTGGATCGACAACCATGAACTCCCTGGAGAAACTGTTGGTATGGCAGTCCATGTAGATTGTGGTGGTCTGAGCTCTAAATTTGTCTGTAAAGGGTGTGTATCCGTGTGGCATCAAAAAGTGAATTGGAATTGCCCTGCAGGATGAGGGGATGAATTGCTTCCCTTTTAGGCAGAGCTTAGAATCTGAAAGGCATGCTAAGAGACTGTTGTCAATGGAAAGAATTGGTCTGTTTCTTTTCTTTTTAAAATGTTTTTATTGATTTTAGAGAGAGGAAGGGAGAGGGGTATATATCAACATCCATCAGCTGCCTCCTGCACACCCCCTACTGGGGATCGAGCCCGAAACTGGGGCATGTGCCTTGACTGGGAATCTCTTGGTTCATGGGTTGATGCTCAACCACTGAGCAATAGCAGTCAGTCCTGGTCTGTTTCTTTAGTAACAGGGTAACTGGTGAGAAGGCAAGCCACAGACTACAAACACTGGAGGCGTTTACAATGAAGTGGGGAGGCATCTAGTAGGAGCAGAAAGGACCTAGTTTTCTCTGCTCCCAGACTCCTTCTACAGAAATGAGGGTGCATGTATGTGTGTGTGACTTAATTCTTATCCACTCCTTCCACAAAAATTCTCTTGATTTCCTTTCTTTCTTACTAAATGGCCAGTTTGTCTAGAAATTTCATTGTTTCCTGCACTTCTTCCCTTTTTGTCTCTTCTAGAAAAAAACACTGAGTACGGTATTTATGTTGAGGTATGGATTTGGGCTGGGGACTGCTAATATTGTGCTACTCTGATATCCAGAGACCGATGGGTGGGACTGAGGCCAATGAGGCAGACAAGACAGTAGATTGAACAAGCTCTTTAGGCTCATCATTGCCAGGCTCCAAGGAAAATCCAACGAGTGGCCTCTAGTTGGGAGAACGATTTCTCCTCTGATGGGAGAGGAGGGTAGGATGCCAAACCAGGTCTTTGGGCATTAGGGGATGGGACTTCTGGCCTCAAAGAGGATTACACAGCACCTCTGATGGGAAGACTGGAGGATGGGATGCCCAATGAGAAGTCTGACCATAAGGAAAGTGGAGGACAAGCTACGTTAGCTCCTCCATCCCCAGGGTAGGTCTCCAGCCCTCTCCAGCTTCCTGTGACTATCAGAAAAGCCAGAGTATAAATTCTGTTTGGTTACCCGCCAGTCTAAAAGCTTCTCCTGTGGCTCTGCGCTTTCTGATTGAATAACTGTGTAGCCTAACCAGAGGTGATCAGAAATTCAGTCAGAAGCCTCAAATGACCTGACCCTCTAAAATGGGAAACAGGAATCCAGGTAGCTTGTTCCTTCGTAGGCAGCAGTCCTAACACCCAGCGGTGACGTAAGGAGTGGGAAGGCAGGCATCGAAGATCAGGCCTGGAAAATGCCATGGAAAGCTGAGTATGGACTTGGGACCTGGAGTTAAGCACCTGTATTCACATCCGGCTCCGTAAGGCCATGGGCAACTTAAGTAGCCTACCTTTCCCCATAAATGGTAAGGATTAAATGAGAGAACCCATTCAGAGTGCAACTGGCAAGTGCCAACACAGCGTAAGCACTCAATGTGTGTTAACTACCGTCCGAGGAATCCTAGTCCATCCTGCGGATGGGAGAAGCACCACACTCATACCCGTTTCTCAGCTCGCACATTTAATCAGAGGGTTTTGGCGTCTACGGGGCTGTCTTTCCATCCATGATCTCCGCTGGAAGCAGAGCCCCACTGCATCAGAGCAGAGGCAGCAGCATCCATCAGGAGTTTTAGTCTCCTACGCGGAGGGCAGGCTCTCCTTCGGGCTGTGGCACGGTCCATGGCTCCGCAGGTGGTGGGTCGGGGCCCAGCTTATCTTCATTTCTGTTAGGCTTCGGGGCTCCCTTCACTCACTGCCCCTGTCCGCTCTCAGGGCTCACCGGGTGTGCCCGCCTGGCCTGGGCTCTCTGATGCGTGGAGCTCTGCTGGCCGACAGGAGTCAGGAGGAGAAGCCGTGCTTGGGGCTGGGGATGACTCCTTAGCGCCGAGGCCCGCGTCCAGCCGGAAGGGAGAGGGGCGACCTCGGCCCGGCCCGGCCCAGCCCGGGGTT